GGCTACAGTTTAGTTTGCCACCATCAGTGTGCATTAACAGGTGAATGATTGAATGTAGTGTAAAGTTTTTTATTTTAGTCCCCTGACTTGAAAAAGCGCTATACAACTACAGGCCATTTACCATTTACCATAGAAAACAGCCCTTTCCACAACTGACTTATTGAATATATGAAGCATGTTGGTGTAAACACTAACAGACCAAAATTTTCCAGAGGAATATAGTCTCTTCTGTTTTCCAGATAAACAGCAGTATAAATATAATCACCCCCACCCATATGTCTTCTCCCACAATGGAAATCTTCTTTGCTTTTTTAATATTCAGTATTCAATTATTTTTTTTGCCACCACCTGCCACAGAGTGGTCCACCATATCTGTATATGTAATCTGTTTTCTGATTTTCTGATAAATGCAGAATCATCCCATGTCTGCAGATGACAGGTGTCTGGCTTGCATTAGAGGTCTAAGGGATACAGAGTGAAGAGAAATTATGAAAGTACACTTTCCTGTGTTGCTCACTGTGGTGGATGATCCTCCCACCACCACATCGTGTTAGTATTTTTTTTCTTGCTTTATATTATATTACAGTTTATATTTAAGTAGGTTATTTCTTTTAGACAGGTATTTTCTAATGGGTGCACACTTTAGTTAATGTCTGTCTGAATGGTTTATTTACACTTGTTCTTTTGTTTGAGGTGCTGCTGATGCAAACCAGCTGGAGGAGGAAACCTGCGTACCATTTTTGAAAGACCGACGGGGGAGACTTGTTTCAAGTTGTTTTCAATTAGTTTGTCACTTAAATACTCACTTATTGTTTCTGTTAAGTAAAAGTTAGTTTTGCTTTATTTGTTTCATAGAATGGTTAATTTTGTATGTATTGGTTCTTTTGTTATGTTCTGCCTCCCTTATGTGGTAGACTTGGGTTACCCCATACCTTTTTAAGCATCCTTTAGTTCTTTGTTTGCAGGTCAGTTTTTTGTTTGAGTTGGATCCTCAGTTGACCTCAGTTAAGTTGGGCCCAGATTCATGTTATTTTGTTTTTAAGTTATTTTGTATTGCTTTTGAGCCTTTGTTAACCATTTTTACACAATTAAATGAAAGCACTTTTTCAAATTTTGAACACCTTTTGTCCTTATTTAAGTTTGGTCCCTCACACTCACCGTCTGGTCAGACACTCACCCCTTCAGGCTGCAAAACGATGGTCTGTTTGTTTAGGTTCCAATTAAATCAATCATAAAGGTTCAGGTGCCTGATACATCCAATGTAATCTAAACTTAGTTTTGCTGTTATGTAGTGTAAATTCTCTTTAGAGGTTTTAAATTTGGCTTAAGTTCTGAAATAAATTGACAGATGATGCTTTTTCAGATCTTTTTCTACTGTTTTACATCGTTTATAAGAAATACTATCTATGTCAATCAGATAAGGAGCCGGATGATGGTGCAGTTTGTCACTGTTGATTCATTCCAGCCTTTTCTTAGGTTGAATTTCTTTTTGTGCAAAGCTCTATACAGGATCTATATAAGGAGGGTCAAATGAGGACTTTTTTTTGTGTGGGCATGTGTTTGTCAGCCTTCCCAAGCATTTGACCAATCAAAATGACTTAATCTGTGTCCAGGAAAACATAACACCCAGATAGCATAAAGCATCACTACAAAAATGTGTGTTTTTATTTTTATAGGTTTAACATTTCATTAGAGCTCACACATATGTTGTGTATGTCAGTGGTATACAGTAGGTGGGGCAGCTGAATAAAGTATTCATTACAATAATTATACTAATTGACATAACCAAAACCATTTATGCCAGCCTAGCAATGCTGTGGATCCAATCACATATGCTACAGCTTTCAGAAGCTTGAGGGGGGAAATTCTGCATTGTTTGTTAATCACTGCATTCGTAACATCCAATATGCATGCAAAGTAGCGTAGCAATAGTGTAGAATATGGGTAAACTCGTTTTTTTCCCCTTTGGTATCTGTATTAGCTAATGATTGAACATTAAAGTGGTATGTAAATCTAAATAATTGCTAAAAAAAATGCTATAAAAAAAGAATGGGTGTAACTAGTGGTGGAAAAATATAGAGACTTTGTAAGTAAAATGTTTAAATGTGTTTTTGTAATGTTCTTTCTAAGTCTCAAGTGTAAAAGATTGCTTTCTGTTCTGGATTTAAATAAGGACCGAGCGGACTGTGACTAAGTCTGGGTGGTTGGATGCCAGTTGCAATATTTGTGGCGAGTAAGCTGGGACTACATTAATAACCACGGTCACAAAACAGGAACTGTTTCTACTGTTGCCTGGGAAGATTTCATCACCAGACAGCTTAAGCTAGATGACTGCTGGGAGGTTTTAGGTATTTATGTTACTTAAGCTTATATGGAGGATAACTCCACCACAATAACTACATTTAAGTAACCCTTTTAGTTCCTTCTTCAAGTTGTTTTCTTAATTGAAGCTCTGCATTTAAAACTTTCTTATGTAATCTCTAATTTGAGAAGCTGCAATAAGCTCATGATGTTAAATTCATAACCGTAAGACAACATAAAAAACCAAAAGACTTGCCCTTGAATTCACAATTTCAATTTCCCCCCTCACAATTCGAATATCCTATATATTTGTTTTTGTTTTTTTCAACATATTTCTCTCAAAAAAAGAAAATCTGTCTTCTATGTGAGCTATACAGACAATATGGAAACAAAATAATTTAAAAGTGACATTCTCTATGACATGATTCACAACCATAGGATTTACAAGACAGTAAAAAGGGAAACATAATCATGAAGAACGTGAGTTAAGGACTCCACCATTCCCTCTTGGTTGCTACCAGCAGTGTCCAGATGACAGTTAAAATATGATCTGTGCAGAGATGAAAACTCTGTACTGCAGTGCAATAAGGCACCCACAGTGCAGAAAAATGTTCGGAAATTTCTTACGTCTATACGCCTCTTACGTATTATTTTACGTTTGATAATTATTCCCTCAACGTTATATACAGCTGTTTTATGGCAAAACTGTTTGCCATCAGGTTTAAATCTAAATATTTTATCTCATAACTTTAAAAGTGCTGAAAGCCTACCTTTGACTGCTACAGGTAAACTGTTAACTACGGTATCATTAGTTTAAGTTTGTCCTCTACCTGTTTTATTTGTTTTGTTTTGTTTTTTTATCTTTATTGCTTTATTTTTCTTCTGTTTTACTGTTCACTTCATTTAAAGCACCTATCAAAGAATTGTCTTTGTACTGATTTGTGCTATGTAAATAAACTTGCTTTGCCTTGCCTAGGCTTCCCATCCCACGCAGCTATTCTCAGAGTGTACATCAGGTGGTATGAGACTAAAAAAAATACAGCACTTGCAGTCAGCTGAACAGAGAAAAAAATACGAAGCATCTACAGCAACATATTTTACTTATCTTGCTGAAATTTGAGGTGCAACAACTGACATTGTTGGTGAAACCCAAAACACACACGCGGATACTGGCAAAGTAATTCCATGGAGGCTTGCCCTAACCTCTACATACTGTACTGCAACCCCTTCCTCAGTCTTACCGTACTTCCAATTCTAAACTTGTCCAACTTTAACACATCAACACACAATCAGAGAGTGGAAAGAGGTGAAAACTGGCAGAGGCCCAGCGCTAATTTGCATTGCTGCCAATATGTGACCCAACTATCAGTTGGTTAGTTTAACTGGACACGATACAGCCGCCCTTTTGATAAAAAGAAGGCCACAGGGCAGAGGAAGCCACTGTAGCATAACTGAAAGGCTTGCAGCAGTCTCCAAAACAGCAGGAGGCACCTGCTTTGCTGAGTAATTTATTAGGTTCCAGTGCCTACGATTGGATTTCTGAAGGATGCCAACAGTGTAACCTGCTCTCACTGTGCAAAGAGCTTGTGCCTGCCAATACAGATCTCCAAGTAAGCTCCACACATCCACAAATGTGAGACTCACCAGGGTAAGATCCTCCACTACAGATGGATCTGAGATCATCAGCATGAGGTTGCTACAGTATATTCAATTCTTACTTTCTTTCTTTGTTTTTTTTTATCTCACCAGCAGAGTGGTTTCAACATGTGTGAGACATGACGGCATGTTGAGCTAAATAAAGAACTGCTCACTGAGGTGGTTGTGGTCCTTGGGCTAGTCCAGCTGACACACCTTCTTTTGCCGCTTTGATTTTTTTTCTGGCCTACAGGATATTTCTAGTTTCAAGCTATTCTCAAAGAGAAAAAACATCTGTCTTGCTAATTCAAAGCAGAGCCTGACTGTGCTCACCCCCCAATTGTTAACTAAAAAGCAGGTTATTCATCATGAATTTTAGTTGTTTTTCATCTCTGTTTAATCAACAGAAAAACATATTTTCACCTTTGATGACTCCAGCCAGCCAACAGTCCGTTTTCAGACCACTCTGAAGTAGGGCGTTGGTTCTGTCTCAAGTAGCTCCACATGCCAGTGTTTATGAGCCTTATATTTTCATGTACAACCACAAGTCTTTATATAGCTTTTATTGGGTGATCATGTATGCCTGTGGAATGGGACGGGTTCCTACCTGGCTTAATTTTTCCATGAAATCCACTCAGTTTGAAGAAAAGCGGCATAGAAACATCTGAGTACAGGAGAGCTTTTGTTGAATACCTTGTAAACAGTGCAGCCGAAGTTTTAGGAGTGATCCTGAGATGTATGTCATGGAAACTCCCTAAGCGTTGGCATGTCATCCTGAAAGAACCACCTCTTTTCATTTCCACTAACAAGGGTCAACTCATGCCACATTTTGACTTTTCTCTTTGCAGAGAAGAGGTTAGCAAGTTCATTTCACAAGCTTTCTTCTGAATTCCACACATCTTTCCCAAACTTCCCGTTGGGATGTGGAGATTACAACACACAAGCATTGGATTCAAACATTATTGTGATCAACTCAGTTACGAATTAAAGGTTTTCACTTCAATCTCATGTAATCTTCATGCATGACATGAACTTATAAAATGCCATCGTTTTCCACTATTCACCTGGTAGATGAGGACTTTGAAGTTGCGTCTCTTAAGCAGCTCATGCTCGTTGCTCTCCAGCTTCTTGATCTGGCCCGCCTGCTTCTCCAGGTTGCTGCGCACCGTCTTGACGTTGACGCTAACCTTGCGCACTTTGTCCAGCATTTTATTGACAGTGTTGGCAGTGTCGACGTGGTTCTTGGACAACTTCGCCAGCTCCCCTTGGATGGTTGACACTGACTTCTCCATTGCCTCTTGCCGAGCCTCCAGTCCGTTCTGGGTCTGCTGGATCTTGTCTACCACACCGATGATCTTGTCTAACAGAGAGAGAACCATGACCCCGTTCATCTGAGCTTCACTCTTGCCTCCGGAGCCTCCATCCAGCACCAGATCCACGTCTTCAGCTGGATCATCGTCTACTGTTGGCTCTGTTGCAGCAGCAACAAGAGCAACTTCTTCATCATCGTAGGGTACATCTGCATGGGTGGCGAGCTCCTTTTTGACAACTGTATCTGCCATTCCTGACAACTAAATATACTAACTCTTTACCAAAAAATGTATTGATTGGGGAACCTCTAGTCTTTTTTTCTTCTTCTTAGATAATCAGTTTTTCTGCCTCTTTAGATGTGAAACATTTCCTCGGCTTCAATCTCTCTCAGTCAGCCCTCTCTGCCTCTCTCTGCCTCTGCTTTGGGATGCCAGCCAGCCAAGGGGAGTGGGGCCTCTCACAGCTGAAGCATGTGTGCCCTGACTGAAATGCCTCTGCTCAATGCAAAACCACCCACTCCAACCTTTTCCCTGCTTGCACCCAGCCTCCACCCAGTGCCAACCCTGCTGCTCCAGCTCCACCCCATTCTGTCCCCAAGCAGAATGTCTGCAGACCCCTCCTCTCAGTGTCATAACACTCCAAAATAACATGGCAAGGTGAGGGTATCTAATGGAAACACCACAGAAAACATTTAGAAAGAGCATGAAAACATGCTTGGCTGTACTCCTAAAGCATTGCACTTAACAAGAAACCTTTCCTTTTGTAGTTGTGTTTGTAGTTTGTATTAGATTAAAATTTTTAAATGATTTTGGATAAAACAATTTAATATAATAAATAAATTATGAATAAAAAATAAAATTATAATAATGATAACTGAATCCAACGTCACACGAAAATACAATATAGATAAAAAGTCCAAAAAAATAAACAATTTATGAGCTCCATAGTTATTCACTAGAGGGCAGTGAGCAGCTTCACTTTGAGTTTTAAACAATAAATAGTCATCATTTTTATTTATTTTTCTTTTTACAAACAGGATCGTATTAGATTGGGTATTACAATTTTAAGGCTTTAAAAGTCTCTGGTCTTTTATGCCACCTAGTAATCTCTCTGGTGTAATTTCTAAAAGAAAAAAACCCTTTAAGGGTTTAACTCACCTAAAACCCTGGAAGGATAGAGATCATATTATTAAGAGATTTTCTTTCCTGTCTTATAACTGACATTGAATGCCATTATACAGCTTTTTAAGCGTTTTTATTGTATGATATTAAATGCTGGTAATGAACCTGGTAAAGTTCAACGTGCAAACTCTTTTAGACTTAGACAGATTTTGTATTGTTATTTTGTACACACAAGTGTAAACAAAAAGAATTTTAGTTAAGTACAGATCTCTAGAACATTTCATTTTTTAAAGTGCAGCCTTGATAAGGTAAGCAGCAGTGATTAAAAAAGCATTGTGATGAAGAAAAATGATGTATAGTTAAAGTTCTAACATTCAGATGTTTTTTTTTTGTTGCTGTTTGAAGTTTTACTGAGATACTAAAGAGGTAAAAGGTAAATAAGTACGTCAATGTTTGCAAATGACAGTATCCAAAACCTTAATATTCCAATAGATGTGCAAAAAAATATTATTTTTACATAATTTGTGTAGTTACCTGTTGCTACCACTAGATGTCAGTATACGCTCTAATTTTAAATCCTTCATGGTTTATTTTTTTTTTTTCTAATAATTTATTTTGACAGAACCCCATTGTATAATTGTAAAAATGCGTTAATAGTGTTAGAAATGCGTTAAAGTATTATATTTTCCATAAAGAGTCAAAAACTCTCCTGCGTAATTGTCGGTTTGGGTGCGTTTCACTCTTCTCTCCAGCAGATGTCGCCGTAAGTTCCGGAGAAGCGTTTCAAAATAAAAGCTTTCCATTAGCAAATCCGGACCAAGATACGTTTTGATAGCTTCGCAGCCAATAGGGATGAACTATTAGAGGTCACGTGACTCGCGAATTCATCAATCGATACACGATCCTTCCGCCTCGAAAGGTCCTTGGTGAGTTTCGTTCACTTCCTCGGATCGCCTCTCCACGAATTACCGAGAGGTAAGAGATAGTTACCAAGAGCAGGAAGGATACAATCCTTATCGAGGACTTTAACGGTAATAAAAAAGCGTCCAGTTAGTCTTGAAACGGTTTAAACCTGCGTTAATGTAGTCTTGACTTTCTACAGTGTTCAAACTTGTAGATGTATTGCTCAACAGGTTTGCTAAATTGTTAGCTTCTCTGAAAGCTAGCTAGTTTTTACAGCTCTTTAAACCAAAACAAGAGAAAACTGAGATGAGACAAAAAAAGTCAATGGTTTGTTTAAGGTTTATTAAAGATGTATTATTGCTGATAAGTAATGTCGACCTGTCAGTTTAGAAAGAATCCACCTACCAGGTTTATACCGTTTGTGTTTGGGTTAAAAAGCTTACAGGACCAATTCTAATGTTTTGATTCCTCTGGGCTGATAATTCTGCGTGGGATTGACAGCTTAACCTGGATAATTGGAGCAACCTTCTGATCTGTTTCAGTTGGTATTTATTGATTGGACTAAACAGGAATGGTTTTCCAGGTGTACAGAAACAAAACAGGAGTTAATGAGTTAATGGAGCTGCTGCTGGATCTTGAAAGAGTCACCTGACTCATTGTAATCCCCAGATTAGCTCTGTGTGGTCGTTTTATGCTTCTTAGCTTTGAGGTATTTGAAAAATCCTGAGATTTAAAGTTGTTTTTTTGTGTGAAGGTAAATGTAAAATCAGTAAGTTTGAACTTTCACCTCTTTATAGGGTAAGTTACCTTTTTTGATTACAGGACAAACCTGTCCCTCAGTGAGATCTAGAAGCACAATATCTATATCCAGCCATTCTGCAGTTGGGGAAAAAAAGCTAATTGAAAAGTTAAAAAGTAAACTTAAAGGAATAGTACACCCAAAACATGATTAGCCTTCATTTTCTACTCACCTCCATGCTGAACAACACTCTGGAGTACTTTTTTGATATCTCAAATGCATCTGGAGATCTGGGAGACTTCTTGCTGTCTGCTGACATTCAAATAATGGAGGTCTATGGCGCCCGAGACAGAAAGGTCCACAAAAGTCCACAAAAACTTGTCAATATTCCTCCATACTGCTCGTCCAATGTAATCCAAGTGTCCTGAGTGGGTAGCATCCAGAATTTACTCGAAACGAAGTCATTTAGAACGTTTTAGAGCCTAAACAGTAGTGTATAGGATTTCCTAATAGCGCCCCCATGCGCGCTCACGATTCTACGGAAGCCGGCAGACCAAACCAGCGCATTCAGCTCGGCAAAGAACTCATGCTCTTCCTCAACACTGAAGTCCTCAGACATTTTTCTTTCGTTGTTTCTTTCTTTGCACAGGTAAACAGCACATTTCTTCTTCTACGCTTGCATTATCGGCAGACCAGACGCTGAATGCGCACTTCCTTCCGGTTTGGTCTGCCGGCTTCCGTAGAATCGTGAGCGCGCATGGGGGCGCTATTAGGAAATCCTATACACTACTGTTTATGCTCTAAAAACATTCTAAATGACTTCGTTTCGAGTAAATTCTGGATGCTACCCACTCAGGACACTTGGATTACATTGGACGAGCAGTATGGAGGAATATTGACACGTTTTTGTGGACTTTTATGGACCTTTCTGTCTCGGGCGCCATGGACCTCCATTATTTGAATGTCAGCAGACAGCAAGAAGCCTCCCAGATCTCCAGATGCATTTGAGATATCAAAAAAGTACTCCAGAGTGTTGTTCAGCATGGAGGTGAGTAGAAAATGAAGGCTAATCATGTTTTGGGTGTACTATTCCTTTAAAAAGTTACTAAGCCTAGTTAACAATTATATTTAGGTTTATAAACAAAAAAAAAAATAAGTGCCTTTATCAGCACTAATGCCTCTAAAGTTATGTTGTACCAAAAAATTTTTTTTCTTTCACTCTTCTATAGAATCACTTTTGTTATTTTTCTTAATATATCTGAGCAAGTTGGTGTTTATTGTTATTATATTGAAATCTATTTTTGCCATCAATATATCCATATTTTTTTATGTTACAAAGGTAAAAAGATATTGTCCCGGATTCCAATGACACTATTGGCTTGAAATTTTGATTTTCAAAGTATTTCACTCAAGTGTGAAGCCTCTTTTTTTCTCTATTTTTCACATGTCCAGTTTTAGCAAAGCTGTGAAAGTGACACCTAAGTGTTTAGGATCCTCCGTCATTAGAGATTCAGTGCAGAAAAATTGCAAAGTGCCGATTGGTCTGTTAATAATGAATGCTTTCTTTCCATAGATCTTGATTGATTTCAGAGTGCTGGGCGCTCTCATCCATCCACAGGATGGGGGAACTCTTTAGAAGCGAAGAGATGACGCTGGCTCAGCTCTTCCTCCAATCAGAAGCTGCCTACTGCTGTGTCAGTGAGCTTGGAGAGATCGGGATGGTGCAGTTTCGCGATGTATGTCCACTTTTATTTTTTGTCTTAAGATTTTTTTTTTGCAAAAGTGCAATTACTCAGTTTTACAGATCATTTTTTGTTTGGCTACATCCGTACTGCTGTGGATGCCCTTTGCATCATGTGCTCACAGCTGACTCCTCATTCCAGCTTGAGAAAAAACTAATTCTTGATCAGAGTAAAGGAAGGCTGTTGTTATGAGATATAGGATGGGTTTAGGGGAGAAAAAAAAAAGCTTTGTAACAGCATGAGCCCTTATCAGGCTTTAACACACTCCAGCAGTTTAAGAAAATTATCTGTAGGGAATTAATGTTCTGTCACTGACCCCTGTTCTTCTTGTTTTAGTTAAACCCTGATGTTAACGTCTTCCAGCGAAAGTTTGTTAATGAAGTGCGGCGATGTGAGGAGATGGATCGCAAATTAAGTGAGCTTTGGTTTAATATACAAGAAACTTTTTTATGATAGTGAAGAAAATCGATGGAGTTTAATACATTAAAACACTTTTTATTTGACATGCTTTAAGTCTTTCTTGCAAATCCTACTTTTCAACAGGATTTGTGGAAAAGGAAATTAAGAAGGCCAGCATCCCAATAATGGACACAGGAGAGAACCCAGAAGTCCCTTTTCCAAGGGACATGATTGATCTAGAGGTGATTGTTTAATTGTAAATTTAAAGAGCTTTAATTTAATTTAATTATATGTATTTATTTGACAGGGACAAGGTACATTAAAAAGCATTCCTGCAAATGCACCAGAATTAGCCGAAAGGCAATTTTTCATCTGTTGTCCCTGGACAGATGTTAAAATTGTCTACCTAAAAAAAAAAAACACAACAGTAAGCATGCTACAGTGTAAAATACAAATATAAAAAGAAATAAAAACAGCTGTAACTCCTCAAAACTGATTTAAAAATACAGAATAAGTGTTCGCTGGACTACAGAGGTTCATAAAATAGAATAAAACATTTAAACTATGTACATATAAATACATATATATATATATATATATATATATATATATATATATATATATATACATACACACGTATACACATACAAGTATATTCATACACAAAGCAGAGACACAAGTGGCAGCATGGCTTGTTAATGATAGACATTCAACTAATGCTGACATGTGTTATGAGCCAATTTTTTAGATGCTTTTTGAAATTAGTGTATGTTGTAAGTTCTCTTTACACAAATAAGTCTATTTTCATTTTTATATTTTAATTCATCATTTGAAAAATCGAGTTTGATGCATTTGGTGCTTATCTTAGATAAATGAGGCATGAAGTAAAGTCATAAAACCATAAAAACGACTAGATGTTCTTTTGCTGCCTCCTATTAGTGGAAAACTGTTCTGCCCATTTATTAAATAGATGATTATAAGTTTTTATCCAGGAGATATAAAACACTAAAACCATGCAGTTAATAGCTGTTCATTCAACTAACAAATTAATAATCCTTTTTTTTTCTCCCAATTTTCCTGCTTTGGCTAAAAATAAAAACATAATTATGATTGATGTATTTTGTGTTTTTATTGTAAAATTATAGCAAAGTAGCTGTAGATTTCTTAGTTATACTAATAGAGTCATGGATCCTGATCTGCTTTTGTGATGGATTTTAATTTTCACTTTCTCGCTCACAGGCTACATTTGAGAAGCTCGAAAATGAGCTGAAGGAAATAAACACCAACCAGGAGGCCCTAAAGAAGAACTTCCTGGAATTGACTGAGCTCAAGCACATTTTGCACCGCACTCAGCAGTTTTTCAACGAGGTCAGTTGCATTGTTTTGAACGGAGGAATTGTCTTCTGCTCCTTGGTTTTTAACGTTGTACTGGAAGTAAAAAGAGGCATCCTCTTATATATTTGGAAGTTGTTTCTCTCCATGTTTGTTCAGGTTCTTAAAATCATGAACAGAAACAATTACCAAATTAAGAAGTCTCTTTTATAACAAAACAGTTTTTTATAAATGCAATATTTCTGAAATGCACACAACTGATATGACAGGAACATTCTAACTTAATCATTTATCTATAGATGACCATAAATTGGAAACCAAATGTGCTTATTTCCAATCTTCCCTTCATTTAAAAGCTGTCAGCGTTGCTCACATAGACAAACTTTTCACAACTCAAATTCAACAAAAGGTGTTTTCTCTCATGATCTTTCATAGTTGCTCACATGACTGCAGCATTTAGCTTAGTCATTCATTATAGTGAGCGCAGTGTTTGGTTGCTCAGGCCTGCAGTATTAAATGCCTTATCCCGTCTGAGCTTAAACAACCTTTGCCCATCATTATTTCCACTTCACTGCCTTAACAAGCAGAACTGTGTCAACTGATGGCACAGAGGCATCTTTTACAAGTTGTTATGAGCTCTGATTTAGGTGAATAATTCAACCAAAGAAGTAAAGGCTCAGCCATTAACTGGAGGAAAAACTCTTCAGAGTTTATCTCTTTAGAAAAGTTCTAGATGTTTTTTTTTTATATAAATGGGTTTTCATGAATGTGCTGAGACGTGATTCCAGCTTTGGGGATGAGTTTGACCTGCAGTGTAATGGTTTTAATTGTTTCTATGCCACGGGACAGATGGAAGATCCCAGTTTGCTTGAAGAGTCCTCCATGCCCCTGGATTCCAATGAGCCGAACAGAGCCGCTCCTCTGAGACTTGGGTGAGCCTGTTTTTTTTTCTCACTCTTGTAGGTTTAAAGGATTAAGCTGTTTTCGCCATCTCCATTTGGAGGATTTCCAGCCGCTGCCTTTCAGCCGTCTGCGTTAGAAATGGGCAAACCTCCTCCCTCAGGAAACTTTAGGCTCTCTCCTCCATACTTTCTTCCAAAGAAGTGCCATGTTCAAAAAGCCCCTAATGATTTTCATTTCTTTTGATTGTCATGAAATTAACAGATTGATTCTGTTACAGATTTGTGGCTGGAGTCATAGGCAGGGAGCGTATTCCCACATTTGAAAGGATGCTGTGGAGAGTTTGCAGAGGAAACGTTTTCCTGCGGCAGGCAGATATTGAAGACCCTCTGGAGGACCCTTCCACAGTCAGTGCTCTTCATAAACTGCTTTATTGGACGTTTAACTTTCTACTAACTGAATGATAATTTATTTTTCAGGGCGATCAGGTCCACAAGTCTGTCTTCATCATATTTTTCCAAGGAGACCAGCTGAAGAACAGAGTCAAGAAAATCTGCGAGGGGTAGGTGAATCAAAATCTCTACAAATTACAGGATTACCTGTTCGTAAATAACAGGTTGTCCTTCTGTGGTCCTGATTTTGTCCTTAGGTTCAGAGCAACGTTATACCCGTGTCCAGAAACGCCTCAAGAGAGGAAAGAGATGCTTGCAGGAGTGAACGCTCGCATTGATGACCTGCAAATGGTGAATAAACATTACGAGAATTAAGGACTTGGATCCGCCTTTGTTTTTGTTTTGTTTTTTCCTTTTAGCTGACATTTGTCTTTATTTTCTCCCTTACCACATAATTCGTGTTTCTTGTACTGTGGTTGGGACTCTCTTTGGGGTTACTTCTCTTTTTAAACATGCTTTCATTCTTTCTGCATCTGATGCAGCTAAAACTTCTTAACCTTTCCACTTAAAGCATAGTGGCTATTTTGCTGTATATGTTGCTCCAAAGTATCCATCATCTCCTTACAGATGAAGTTATACCTTTTTTTTATTTCCACATGTGGGTAACTTAATTCTCTTATGGTGTTACATTCACCTGCATGGATTAAACATCTTATTTAGGGAAACTTTAACCGCTTCTTATGAAACTGCAGACTTATACTCTGACAATATGGGATCAGACAAAAAGCACAAGCGGGGCTTTATTTACTATCCTCTTTCTAAACATTCAGTGGATCAGACAACCAGTTAACTGTAAATACAGCTTGCTGCTAATTTCTCTTATTTGGAGCAGAACAAGGCTTTCCAGGCCAGAAGCACTAAACCTCTGATGTCTGAATCTTCTCAACTGGGTCTTTACTCCAGACATAAACATTAGTTAGATTTTTCTTTATTCGCTCTTCTTTTTCTAGATTGTATCCATTTAAATATTATAATGACTAAAGGCATAACAGAAATATGCAACAAGTTTAAAAGATTTACTGCTGATAAATCAGAGCTACATTGTTAACAGATTATGAGATTGCTCTAAATACAATAGTTGGAATATTTTCACAAAAAAGAGTTTCTGATGATACAGAAAGGAAAATTAGCTTCAGGTCCATTTGCACGTCCCAGTAAAGCAATTTGTGATTATATTTTCTTCTTGACTGAGTTTCTTTTGATTCAGTTGTGTCAAACAGTTTTACTTCTGTTCCTTGAAGGTTCTGAACCAGACGGAAGATCACAGGCAGAGAGTCCTGCAGGCTGCGGCCAAGACAGTCAGGGTGTGGTTCATTAAGGTGAGGAAGATGAAGGCCATCTATCACACCCTAAACCTCTGCAACATCGACGTCACACAGAAATGTCTGATCGCCGAAGTGTGGTGTCCTGTGTCTGACATGGACTCCATCCAGTTCGCCCTGCGGAGGGGGACGGTGAGTAGACCTAAGTGGCAGTGGTGGTGGGAGGAGTGTATTTTCTTGTACCGTATTTTCACGACCATAAGGCGCACCATACTAAAAGGCGCAGTCTCAGTTATGTGTGCCATTTCTGTATTTAACACACACATAAGGCACACCGGACTATAGGGCGCATTTTTTTATATACAGGTACATGTCCTCTACTACCTTTAAATACCTCTACTGCGTATTTTAAAAATACAGCGGGCCCAAAACTGAGTATGACTGTGCTTTATTCATGTATTTATTACAAAGTATTAATCAAACCTGCGAGCTGGCCGTGAGACAGACATATCGCAGATGACACAGCGCTGTGGTCACTCCTAAATTAACTTAAAATCCTGAAACCTGCCGACAGAATATGTTCGCTTTTATTACCGGTATCCTGGTGCCTGCAGTTTAAATTATTTAGATGAAAAACACCTGCCAGCCACCGCGGTGAGGCTGCTGTTGAATGGATTTCTGCTGTCGGTGCACCGCTGGTATGTGGGGGTCTGAGCGCCTCCGACAGAAATAGATAATCTGGATGAACTGACTGCAATTATTAAGTTTTCAGGTGGACTTTCTCACTTAAAAACATATTAAAACTACTTTATTCCCACTGATCACAGCAAATATAGCTGCAAGATTTAGATTATTTAGATGAAAAAACACCTGCCAGCCACCGCGCTGAAGAGGAGGAGACGCGCTCAGAGGCAGCTGTTGAATTAAGTTTTCAGGTAGAAAAATAGAGCGGGAGCAAAACTGAGTATGTTTGTGCTTTATTCATGTATTTATTACAAAGTATTAATCAAACCCATCAAAGTCATCCTCCTCTGTTTCTGAATAAAACAGCTGCACTAAATCAGACATGCCAATTTCCCCTTCTTCGCTGTCAGAGTCACTTTCCGTTCAGCGCAGCTCCTCAGAAATAATGCCGGCTTTTGCAAAAGCTTGAACAACAGAGCCAGCAGACACATTAGTCCAAGCATCTACAATCCATCCGCAAACGGTGGCGTAACTTGCCCGGCGCTGCCTTCCACTTATCCTGAAACTGTGGTCTCTGTCGGCCATCCATCGCTCCCACGCCGCTCGCAGCCTTACTTTGAACGGCCGCTTCACACTGAGTGTCGAGCGGTTGAAGTTCCTTTGTCAGACCCCCGGGATAACGGCGAGCACAGCATCCATTTGATTCACCATTTTTTTTCATATCGGCTGTGAGATGGGCACGCAGCGATGGTGATGCGTGGAAAAAAGCACCTGGTCTCCTCACATACACCTGCCTTTCATCATCTCCAGCCTTTTTCATTTGCGTTAATGTCATCAGAGCGCTGTGTCTGTCTCGCTGTCAGCTCCCAGATCAGCTTCTCTGATTGGTTGATGCGGCGCGTCCAGCAGCAAAACTTCAATTTTTCCATCTCGAGCAGCAGCAGCGCGTTGGCGGTGCGTCAGATACTTAAACGCTCCCGAGGCGCTGCGGCTGCTGCTCAAAACGCGCTGCGGGACCTTTTGCTGTGCCTATACGCGCGCCAACCATTGACTTTGCATGTAATCTCGCTGCTTCTGCTGCACCTGCTGGGTCCGGTTCACACCGATGTCGAGCGGTTGAACAGCGAGCACAGCGTTAATTTGTTTCCCCATGTTTTTCACATCAGCTGTGAGATGGGCACGCATGGAGTCACATATTAACAGCGATGGTGATGAGTGGAAAAAAAACACCTGGTCTCCTTACATTCAGCCACTCTTTCATCATCTCCTCAATGAGGTGGTCTCAAAAGTCGCAGTTACAACACACATAAGGCACACCGCACCAAAGGGCGAACCGCACATTTTGAGGAAAAAAAAAGACGTTTAAGTGCGCCTTATAGTCGTGAAAATACGGTATATAAGTTGAACTTGCTTGTCCCGGGTTTTGTTTGTTTAGGAGAAAAGCGGCTCCACCGTGCCTTCCATTCTCAATCGGATGCAAACTAAACAGACTCCACCCACGTATAACAAGACGAACAAGTTCACCTCAGGGTTCCAGAACATTGTGGATGCTTATGGGATTGGCAACTACCGTGAAATAAACCCAGGTTAACAGACAGTTCTGTCAGATTCAGCCTCCTCGGCTGCGAGGTTGTCACTGAGCGCATGTCAGAAACCTCATTGACATATTTAATTTGCTCGTTTCATGTACCATCACCACCATCCCATCATCTTCCTTCGATTCCTGCCTTCTTGTCTTCAGCACCATACACCATCATTACCTTCCCCTTCCTGTTTGCCGTCATGTTTGGTGACTTGGGCCATGGGACCCTCATGACCTGCGCGGCTCTGTACCTTGTGTTAAGAGAGAGCAGGCTGATGGCCCAGAAGAATGATAACGAGGTATGAATTGTCTCACAGTCGTCTCGTCCTTCCCACCCTGCCCATCCGCAGAGAACCGACGGCGCTCTGCAAACATCCATCCCTTTAGTTCACACGCTCTTCTTAGTTTATAACCTGATTGGGTTTTTTCTCTTTAGATTTATTCCTTGTTGATCATTTCTTGTGGCAGATATTCAACATGGTGTTTTCTGGACGTTACATCATCCTGCTGATGGGAATATTCTCAATGTACACTGGCCTCATTTATAACGACTGCTTCTCCAAGTCCCTCAACATGTTTGGCTCTGGATGGAGCGTTAGACCCATGTTTACAGAAGCCAACTGGTCGTAAGTATCGAAAAACAGCAAAGATCGTTAACTATGATGGATTTCTTAGCATTAAATTAACATCAGTGCTATAATTTAAGAGTTTATCAGCTCAATCTTTGAGCAAAGTTAGAACTAAAGAAAAAAACTATTGTACTGTCTAAATTGTGAGATTTAAGAATCTTATACTGATGTCCATAATTGGTGTTTTGTGTTAACTCAATGACAACAAAAGAAGCATTTTGCACAGACTCAACTTTAATTAAGTAAACAGATGTTTCTTATTCCTCCAGTGATGAAACGCTTGGTGGAAACGCAGCCTTGCAGTTGGATCCTGCAGTAAAGGGAGTGTTTCGAGGGCCATATCCACTTGGAATTGATCCAGTAAAATTTTTGATATTTATTTATTTTTCTAGTTTTTAACATTTGCATATTCCCCCACGAAAAAAGGCCTTGTCTTTGGAAAGATTTAAATATACTTTATTTCATGTTATTCTGTCATTGTAACAGTCAACAGGCCAGAGTTGTTCTGAATCTGTGTATATTTATGAAATGCAAGCAAAAATGGGACCCCTGTCGTTTCAGTTTAGAGGGGCAACCTTTTACAGTTTGATAAAAGGCCTGTGAAATGTTTAGAACATGTGCCCTCATGCATAAATGTGGAGGGTCTTAAAAGGTTCTTCATTAGCATTGGAGTCTCCTTTCTATCTCTTCTTTCTTTCATCTTTTCTCTTTTTTTTCTTTTTTCCTTTTCTTCTTCTGTTTTTCTGCACTATTTTCATTGCAGTGTCCATATAAACTGTAAAACTCCCTGTATAATTATAATAAAGCAATTTATATGCATGAAACAAGTGTAGCTTGTTTCATGCAATTGCCATACTGCTACACTTGTGAAAGTAAAATCTGTTGGGATGTTTTTGGCATCAAGACAATTATTCTTATTGCCACATTGCCAGACAGGACACTGTAAAAAAAAAAAAAAAAAAAAAAAAAAAAAGCAATTGGAGTCAGAATTTACTTGAATATTCATAGGAATATGGACAAAAATATCACAATATTGTCTTCTGAGTTGAACGAACGTTATTATGATAACACAATGATCAGTTTTAGATTAACAGTTCAGTTTCTAAGACTACATTTGTTTCAACTTAAAGGACTAAAATAAAATAAAATAAAAAGAAGAAAATATTGATCTATTTTCATAAATTAAACCCCAAATGCTGTGAAGCATGGTTGGACACATGGAGTTTCAATAAACTAGTAAAAGAGGGTTATAAAACTGAGATATATTGACATTCTAAATCTATTTTCAGTTATTTTTTGAGTGAATATATTTGTTAGTATTAGTATGAAATAATTTAAACCATTAAAAAATGGCTGCAATCATTTCCCTGTCTAGTGAAAAGGCTTTAATAACAAATTGCTTGATAAGCCTCATGGATTGTCTCTCTTTTTAACTTAATACCTTTTTATCATTATTATTATTTTATGTTCATTAAACATGAATATTTTAATTACTTCAATGCTCCACATAACCTTAATCAGAACTTCTGTAGTACATTTCTTAGACCTGATTAATGCATCTCTGATTATTAAGAACTTTAAGGTGCAGAGCTCTCCTTGGTTCTGAAATAAGAACCAGTTTTGCTTTGCTGTGATGTTTTTCAGATCTGGAGTATTTCCATCAACAAGCTCACATTTCTGAACTCCTTCAAGATGAAGATGTCTGTTGTCTTAGGAGTCATCCACATGATCTTTGGTGTCACTCTAAGCCTCTTCAACCACCTGTGAGTTTTTTCATACATGTTGTTTTGAAACTTCTTTGTTTTTCTGTTTCTCACCAAGGTGATCAACTTATGTTTTTTATTTGTTTTTTTTTAACAGGTATTTTAAAAAGCCGCTGAACATCTACTTGGGATTCATCCCAGAGATTGTCTTTATGTCCAGTCTGTTTGGCTACTTGGTCATTCTGATCTTCTATAAGTGGGTCTCTTATGATGCGCTAACCTCCAGGGATGCTCCCAGTCTCCTCATTGCTTTCATCAACATGTTCCTCTTCAGCTACAATGACCCCACTTCTAAACCTCTCTACAGGGGGCAGGTCAGACCAATCAGCCTCATATGTAAATAATTTGCGGAGTTAAATTTTGGAACAAACTAAATGAGAACCTAAAGCAATGCCCAAACATATTCCTTTTCAAAAAAATGTACAAAGAAATTATTTTCAAAAGGTATAGAGAAGCATTGTAGAAAGTTTTGTTTGTGTTTTTTGTTTTGTTTATTTGTATATATGTATGAAGGTATATGTGTAGGTAGGTATGTATTTATATGGATATATATTGCAACATAATTATAAATATTGTAAACTGAAGAAATACAAGAATTAAAGGGGTAGGAGCACATAAGTTTTACTTCTTCCTACTCCTTTTCGCACATGTAATAGAGGTATGTTAACTCAGGAAAGAAGGCTACCTTGTTTGTTGTTTTCCTCTCCAATGTTTTAAACATAGTTTTTTTGTTTTTCTCTTGCATGTTCGAAATAAAGAATAAAAAAAGGTGAATTTCAGCTCATAGATGTGCTCATTAAACAGATTTTAATTAATTTTCTTGTTGTCTCTGCAGATGGGTCTCCAGATATTCTTGGTGCTAATAGCGTTAGCATGTGTCCCCTGCATGTTGATTGTAAAAACTCTGGTTATGCGGAGGCAGTATTTATGGCAAAAAAATCTGGTAAGATCAGAGTGGACTTATGGCGACAGCGCTCGTCAGTGGGAGATCGTTCATTTGGTTTTAACATCCCGTTGAACAGGGCACACAGAACTTTGGAGGAATCCGGGTCGGCAACGGTCCCACCGAGGACGAGGCCAACATTATCCAGCACGACCAGCTGGCGCAGCAGTCAGAAGAAGAACCGGAGGTGAATTCAACTTTTTCCCAACAGTCTTTAAATAATCACTGATTTGCAGCTGAAACAATGCTTGTTATGCAGGAGGAAGAGCAGTTCAGGAGTTTGAGGGAGCACAAGTAAAATGATCAGACATGTTTGAATAATTCAGCTAACCTCATGTTTCCACTGCGGTGCATCTAAACATCAATTATGGATAACTGTGGATTGTTGTTCCGCCTTTTCACGCTTTTTTATTTTTATTTTTTTTAAATGCCCATTTGATTTGATCTGTGTTCCTTTTTCTGCTGATCCGTCATCCTGCAGCTCTTTACAGTAGTTTTCATTTGAACTTTAGACAGATAAGCGGTGTGAGTGTATGTGGGCAGGATACTGGCTTGCTCTAGCACTGTCCTCACCTCCTTTACAGATATATAACTGCCTTCTCTTTTCTGTCATTGATGTTTGTCTGTTGATGTATGTGTTTCTTTTTTTTTCCAATAACCAAGAGTTCCCTTTTGTTACCCGCTTTCAAGGCCGCCGAGGAGGAAGAGGTAGGACTGGAGTTTACGCTGCACCTTTATCACTAACTCTGAACATGCATGTCTCGGGCCTCTTTTCTTACTAGATCTCCCCTCGTCCCTTAGGTTGGTTGGTTGGTTGTTGGGTATGTTGGTGTATGTCGGTGTGTCCTAGGTGTTTTCTCAGACATCGGGCGTCAGTAGATTAATGCTTCCCTGAGGTCTCGGTGAAGTGCATGAAGCATCAGTAGAGCAGCTGCTACTCTGGGATACGCAGGGTCCAAAGGGGACAAAGCCTCTACTAATTTGGAGGTTGCTTCTTCTAACGGCTCCCCTGTTAGTTAGTCTAATGATCATGCACGCATGGTGAACCTGAGTTTTCCTTGGTGGGCTCCAGGAAATGTTCTTAGTTTGTTTTGAACATCATGCTGACATGTTTGTATGTTTTTCTTTCTTTTTCTTCCCTTCCACAGTTTAACTTTGCAGACATGGCTGTGCATCAGGCGATTCACACCATCGAGTACTGCCTTGGCTGCATCTCTAACACCGCTTCTTATCTCAGGCTCTGGGCCCTCAGTTTGGCTCATGCACGTAAGCAGAAGCATAAGCAGAGCACACGTGTTTAAAGATGTCGATCCACCTGCAAACTAATCACACGGTTGTATATTTGTCTGCTGTTTATGAACAGAGCTATCAGAGGTGCTTTGGTCCATGGTGATGCGCATCGGCCTCTCTAGAAGCCCTGCAGGCTTTATCCTTATGGCCATCATCTTTTCCTTCTTTGCCGTTCTCACAGTTGCAATTCTTCTCATTATGGAAGGACTGTCAGCCTTTCTGCACGCACTTCGACTGCACTGGTAAATTTAGGTTTTTTCTATCTTTAGGTACTTTTGTAAAGTGGTTTTTAACTCTATTATTATTCATTATTCAAACTGTCTCTATTTCAAGTTGATGTTAACTGAGCTCTGAGGTTTTCTCTCTTTTTTTTAATAAACTTTATTATATACAACACACAACAATACAAAACTGCATTGTGTACATATCATAAAACAACAAAAACATTTGCCAAGGGGAGCATTAACAGACAACAATAAAGTATAATAAGAAATGAAAAAGTAATCTTGTTTAAAGAAAAACAGTACCAAAGGTGACAAAAATACCAGATGCCACAGTGAATTAACACAATAATTATCTAAAATTCCAATTTGATTGCAAGCCAATTAAGTTGTTTTTGCTTTTTTGTTTGTTGAAGGTCGAATTGTAAATATATAATGTTTAAATTCAATCAAAAAAACCTTAATAACCTTAGCCTTAATAATTAATAAATTGATAAGAAAACTCTTCGCATTCATTCTTTCATTTTGTTGAAAACCAAACAGGACAGGTTTTCTCTTTAAGATGTTCACTCTTCAGTTCAATGTAAACTATATTCAGACCTTTAGCTCCACCTGCTGGTTATTGTGTTTCTACTCATTTGAACATATGCTAACCTGGCAGTAGCCAGATCGCTATGTATGGAACTGAGTCGAGTTCTACATTTACAATCTGGGATGGCTGTCGTTCAATCTGTCCATGAAAACGAGCAACGTTTAGTACAATATTTGGAGCTGATTGGGTGACGTGCCAGCTAGTACCCGCCTTCCATAATACGCTTTCAGCCAATCGACATGATGATCACAGTAGGATTTGTCTGCACCTTCTTGAGTGTTTTCACAACTAGTGGAATAAGCTGATAAATCATTATTTTTCCAAGTCCTGTTAGAAGAAAAGCACAGACATCTTTCCCATCTACAAATGCACAAATGGCTTCTCTTTGCTCAAGAAGCGAGAAATTATCGCTATTTTAGTTAAAACCGATTTAATTGCAGTAGCGATAGGTGAGTCCTCCACACTGATCTCTATTTATTCACTTGATTGCTGATAAACCAAAAATACGGAAGTCACCTGCCACCATCTTGGTACTCCCCACGTTCATGGAGTCGCATCATAAAAATGCCTGTAATGTAATTTAATTACTATAACAATGTAATCAGGACATGTATATTACTAACCTGACTCCGCCAGATTGATTTGCTCTGCATATCCATCTGGAAACCTTCCGTTGAAGTAATTTTGGGAAGGGGCGAAAATACTGGCCTATTATTATTATAATATTGGCCTATGTTGGTGATAGATGGGCCAAATAAAGCAATCAGATCAACGAAGCATATGACGTACTAACAGAGCGACGATGAAGAGGAGCCAATTGATAGATCAAACTCTTGCCGAAACCAGTCGGGAGAGGGCAAAAACATCTTTTCCTCTGAGAAAAGCCTCCAGAGCAGTGTTTTGCTCTTCTTTCAATGAAGAAATACTCTGGAATTCCGATAAAACTTGCTCGATAGCCACGCTAACGCTAGTTTCATCGGCTGAAGCCGCCATGTTCTTTAAACTGAACTGTCGCGCTTCTCGTTGCGTCACACCTCAACCCACCTCAAAGCCAACGCTGATTGGACGTTCGTTTGGTGAACGGCTCCAAATTTTCTTTAATGGAGAGTAGCCAGACTGATCTGCGAGTGAAACCTTGAAAGCTCGCGAGATCAGGATGGTCTCACGAGGCTAGTATATTACATGCACGTCATCAATTTAGCACTTGTGGTATATCATCAGATAATGTGTGCGTGTAATATCAATATCTCACTACAGTGTTATGTTCAATTAACACACTAATTTTGTTGTGATGGATTTGTGTAATATGTTACATGACTTATAGCATTGTTGATTATGCAATGTGATGTGCCTGTTTTTTTTTTACCATAAATGACAGTAATCTACAGATGCTATGAAACTCCAAATGTGCGTCAAAGTGATGAATTTATCTTTATTTTAAAAGTCTTAAGCCCACCTGAAAATTAAAACATCATCGTGGTTCGATGCTGTTTTGTTTACAATGTTTGTTTACATTCCGAACGGTCCAACTAGGGAGTATTTATGTCGGTCGGTGACTTCACAGCACTGTGTACTACCAAACGCCTATCAGCAATCCAGTGAATCACTAGAGATCAGAGGTCCTCCTGCGTAGCCATGTTTGTAAGGCCCTTCTGACTGTCCTCCTTCCTACATTCCCCCCCTAAAAAAACTGCTGGTATGTCATCAACAAAAAACAAAAAAATCAATAGCATCTACTGAAGGCTTTGCAAAGGAAATATTAAAAGCTATTTATTGTATTGCTGCAGAGAAGATGATTTGTGTTCTAGGATCATATCAGTGGTTTTGAATAGCAAAGCTCACCTCTCTTTACCTTAAATGGCCTTTTTGTCTGAAGAGCTGCCTGAATGATCTGATGAAATCACCTTCCTGCTGCTCTGCAGTTTGTTTGGGTTATCTTACCAGATCATGAGGTCAAAGCAGACCAGCAACATCTTGTTCCTTAAATAAAGCTTAAATCTATTTGGATGCCTTACCAGAAACAGTCCACTGAGATGATGCTTAGATGTTTCAGACTACAAAATAACTTAAAGTTTTATACTGTTGTAAAGAAGAAACAGGATCAGTTCTGTGGAAGTTTTTGCTTTACACTCAGAAAGAACATGCTGTTCTCCCCAGAAAAGTTCAGACTCTCCTTATCTATTTATTTATTTTTTAAAGGAGTAGCCAAGGAATGATGGGGGATTTTGACTCCTTACTAGTTAAAAGGTCATCCAGCTGCCATATCAGCTCAGACTCTTAAAAATAGCTCCTGATCATTTTCTTATAGCAAGCAGTATTGGGTTTCTAGCTCTAGAGCCAGACTCACGATATAAACATGAGTAACTGTAGACTGGATTTATGAGGCTGGGCTGCTTCATTCAGCTTCACCCCATCGCCACTATTCTCCTAGAGACGTTTTGATCCAAAGTTATTCCTCCTAATTGTTTTTATTTAACCTTATCTTTCACTTCTCTCCTCAGGGTGGAATTCCAGAACAAATTCTACGTAGGTCAAGGCTTCAAATTTCTTCCCTTCACCTTTGAAAGCATCTTAGAAGGAAGATTTGATGAATGAAAGAAACCACTTTATAACAGGTTCTACCAGAACTTCAGTTTGTGTTGTTTATTTTTCTGTTCTTTTCCCGTCTGTGTTTAAGTCTCCATGTTGCCACAGCAGCTGTGGTGATGACCCATGACCTGGTGATCCTATAGAAGTTTTGTTTTATGTTATTTCCTTTATTGTTATTTATACCGTTGTTGTTTTCTTTGTAAGACCTGTATTGCTGTGCTATTGCTGTTGGAGCCTCTGAATGATAAACTAGATCTGCTGATGATAAAAGGCTGATTGAAGTGTTAGTTCTCGTTTATGTTGTCTACTCTGCTTCTCTTTGGTGGTTTTGTCTCTTTAGGTTCTTATCGCAGAGAAAACTCACACAGAATGTAAAGTTCCTCAAGCAACCCAGCTTAAAGATTGTTTCAATTTGAAGACCTATGCATTAAAAAGATTTTGTTTTGTTGGTGTTCATTAAAAAGATTAAGAATCCACAGATGGTTAATTATTATTAATGTGCCGCGTTCCGTTAATTTAATTTCTGTAATCTGATCTGGTCATTAGAAGTGGTTTGTCTAAATCTTTGTCAATAAACTGGGAAGAGCTGCTCTACTGTTTCAGTTTTTAGCACTTTCTTTTTTTTCCCCTAACATCCGTAATTTGCCCCACTTCCTCTTTTCAAAACCTTACGACATCCTGAGAGCCTGTTGCATGAAGAAAATGGCACCATTTTCAAAGAAGTAAAATTGGTTAAAGCTTGACTGCTTCGACCCATCTGGTTCTTAAAAATGTAATTATTTTAAGTGCTTCTGTCTAAAATTAGGAGCTTATATTTGATTTTTAAGTTATTACATTATCACACATCTGTTTTCTCAGTCAAGATTTTAAACCTACACACTGCTGCAAAGATAAATATATTCAAACAGTTGTTTTCCCTGCTGGTTTCTCTAAAAACTGAAGAAACAAGGAGATGTTGACATTAATAAAGTGAATTTAATCACATCTCACACAAAGTCTGTTACCAAGGTTACAAAGATTCAACCACCAGAGAAGCACGCAATAAAAGTCAAGTCATTGTAGTAAAACTGAATTAAACTTAAGTATTGACATTTTACTGCGGAAATGTCAGTCTGCTTAAAGTATGTTGAGTTACTGCATTGTGTCTGTACTCTTAATCTGGTCAGGGCTCTTTTTGCCTTAATTACTTTATTAATGCACCCCGAGGAAATACTAAGGTCTGAAGAAAGCAGTTAGAGGTGGGTATACTAGCATTTCTAAGTCCTATCAGTAGCAAAAGTACATATCCTGTACATTTGTATTCACACATAGCCGAGCATGGGGGGTTTTAAATGGGGACCAATGAGCTGACCCTGGTGCCTGTTGTGGCCCCAATTCAATTCAGTTTTTTTATATAGCGCCAATTCACAACACATGTCATCTCTAAGCACTTTACAGTTCATCAGATCGTCCAGTCAAATTGATTCAAGGTTTTCTATCTAAGGAAAACCAGTTGATTGCATCAACTCATTGACTCAAAGGAAATCCCTCACACAAAGCATGCTTGTAGCGACAGTGGAGAGGAAAAACTCCCTTTTTACAGGAATAAACCTCCAGCAGAACCAGGCTCAGTGTGAGCGGCCATCTGCTGAGGCCGACTGGGGTTCAAGGAGACAGAAGCAGAGATAAAAAAGCAGCTGTGAAAGGCGGCCCCGTCCAGGAAACACACAGTCAGGCAGACGAGCTCCGAGCCAGCTCCAATGTCAGTTTAATTTATCTGTGCTAGCACTGCAATTATCTGTCTTCTACAGGTTTATTTTCATAAGTGGCTTCTGATGAAGTGTTCCACTTTTAGCTTTAATGGGACATAATCAGAATTTTCATCGGCTTCATCAGGGGCCTGCTACCCGCCTGCCTCTTTTTATGTATTAATTGATTTTTTTTTTTTTATTCTTTAGTTCTTTCATCACTTGGGGAAAATATCTAAGTACAACAGCTCTTTAACTTATGACTGTGTAGGTCAAGACTTTATGTTTTTATGTAATGATCTAAATTGGTGAACAGCTATGTTTGCTCCATGAGCAAGAATAAAATATTAAAATACTGTATAATTAGTTCATATATTATTAGTTCTGCTTTTTTTAAATGAATCACAGACAAACACATATTTTCCTGATGTTCAAAGAGTTTATGTAAAGAAATAGATGTGAATGTCAGCAGATTCTGTTGTGCTGTTCCTCCTCTTGGGGGCGCTGTTTAACTGCATTTGCAGTTCATTTTTTCCAACACTGGAAGTTTTTTCTGTCTCAGTGTTGTAGTTGTAACAAAAACATTATTCTACACAATAGTTCGCCTGAAGCACCTCATATTTATTTGATATATTCTAATTATAAGTATTACTAACGAGTTACCAGGGCTGCATGGTGGTGCAGGTTGTTGCACTGTTGCCTTGCAGCAAGAAGGTTCTGGGTTTGATTTCCAGCCTAGAGTCTTTCTGTATGGTGTTTGCATGTTCTCCCTTTGCATGCTTGCATTCTCTCTGGGTACTCTGGCTTCCTCCCACAGTCTAAAGACATGACTCTTAGGATAACTGCCGTCTCAAATGTCTCAGTGCATGGTGGTCGTGTGTTTCAGGTAAGAAGATGGATGGATGGAAAGCAGTAATCAGTTATGAATGATTTTCTATATTGTGTTTATAATTAATTTTGCATGTTCTACTGAGATTACTCAGTATTTTTTAAACTTTCTCCTTTTCACATAAAATCCTCATCTTAACTTCAGAGCAGCTTGTCTGATGCTTCACTTTATGGAGAAATTAACCTGTACATCAATTTATTATTAAAACGAAAAGACTAAAGTCTTTAACCTAAAGAGAATGTTTAAGAATGTTAAAGACTGGATTCTTGAAGAAGTATGAAATAGTATAAAATGAGCTCATACTATCGTTGTTTAGTTGAGATTGACGACTGACTTTGTTTTTGTTGCAGAAGATAACCATTTTTTTCCCTGTTTAGTTTCAGAGCTGAGAAAAAAGGGGCAGATATTATAAGATTGTTTTCTTCTTTCTGCTGCCTTTCATTTCATTTTGTTTTAAAATTTTGAAATACATATGTAGTATGTCTGTGTGTGTATATATGTATGTAATGTATACAGATGGATATGTAGGTATGTATGGATGGAGGTGTATTTTTCTTTTTTAGTATATCAAAAATTTGATAGGCTGTTTTTTTTTTGGTATTCAATGAAATGAATGAATAAATAAATAAATAAAAAAATAAAAAACTTCAAAGCATGTTTTATTATCCTTTGCTATCTTCTAAAAGACGTTAATTTTGGAAAGAGGCATCAGCTTAAATGTTAAACCAGCTTAAACGTAAAACTGATACATTCCACTGAAAGGTGAAACTGGAGCAAACAGAAAGTCTAAAAAAAGAGCTTCTTCCTTCTGGCAACATGGGAGGCCAAACTATTAAAATATTCAGCCACTGTGGAATGAGGAACATCATGTTCTCCAGTCACATGTCTCCAGGGGGGGCTTCTACTTTACAACAGACCAAGGTAATAATAGAGCCCTGTATTTATCTTCCTTTTTTCTTTTTTTTTTTCTTCGAAAAGCTCATTTAATTTGATAATTCCCAGTGTGTCATATACAAGCGGGAGTGAAGGCAGGCCTGCATGAGAGCCCGAGAAATCATGCCATGTTTATGCTTTTGGAGACCTTAAATCTACTGTTCTAAATTAAAAATCCTGTTGACAGCAAGTTTTATTATTGTGCTTTCTTATCTGTGTGAGTGCACTTTAACTTGGCAGAACAACCTGGAGGAATGCTCAGTTTTTCTAAGTTTATAGTAGATTTTTTTCTTTGGGATAGTAGATGCTTTTGCAGCTGTTCTGGGGTTTTAAGCTTTCAGGTTTTCTTGATCTCGGCACAGAAGATAGAAGTCTGTGATTTTCAATAGGCTAGAAAAAGCTAAACCAACTAAGGCTAGGTCTCTCCAGCCAGAAAAGGCCCAGAGCACTGAATGTCTCATGAACCGACTGTTTGTGCTGGCGGGACTTAAACATTTTGCACATAAGAGTGTGACGATAGATTTTCCTTCTATAGTTCTGAAGTTGTGAAATAAACTACTCAATTCTATCTTTGATTTTAACCCACAAAGACGTCTCTTCTTATAGTTTGGCTTTTCTAAACAAAAGGCAAGAACATGGCCAAATAGTTTATAAAGAAATAATAAATTATCTATCTTAGCAATTACCCTTTTAAATATAATGAATTATACATGTTATACATTTTCTTTGGTTGTGTTTAGAGATTTTTTTTTTGTACTGATTCCCTAAAATCAAGAAGCTATTTTCATTTCTTGATTAAATACAGGTATAAAAATAAGAAAATGTCCATTTCTCATTTTCCAGATGAGATGATCTCTAAGAGTTGAGCCGCTCCTTAGGGTTATCTCCATCATAAAGGTGCAGACCCCAAATTTTATTACAGACTATTTAGCAGAAAAATAAATATGAAAGGTGCAGCAACCTGGTTGCAAAAGTGTGTGCATTGTTAAAAGTACTCTGTTTAAACACCATCATATTTTATTTCAGCAGTTTGTCATCTTGTCAGTATCAAATACCCAATAATACAAGATCTTTCAAAAGTTGTCTATATCATATTTACTCTCTTCATCTTTTTTTTTTTTTTTTTTTTTTTTTTAATCGAAGTGGACCACCTGGTACGCAGAAGGATTCCCAACCTTTGTTACCCCGCTCACCTCTGGAGGCGTGACGCTCTTTCACTGAGGCTATGCAGGTCATTCTGTGCTGCTTCTGTTAAAAAATATATAATTTTCAAATGTGGATGGAAAGTTTAGTCCTGGCAACATTAGACCAAAGAACATTCTTTACTACGGTAGTTTAGAAAGATTTTAGTCAAGCTTGGATGTTTTCTTCAGAAGAATGTTCACTCTTAAACATAGGCGCTTATCCAGACATATGAATACTGTAGAATTTAATTAGAGTTTTTCATTTATGTAATTTTTTAAATATTTTATAAATAAATCAGGTGCTAATGAAATATTTATTACCTGAATAAGCTAATTTTGTTTTGGGGAAAGGAGTCAAAAGCAACAACTTAAACGTGCTAATTTTGTGTCTTCCAGACTTAGTAACTGGTTTAAGCTCTTGCAGTAAAATAAGGGGAATTTATGGCCTTGACTTAAACCTTCTTTGCAGCCGCTTATGGGGAAGCTGCTTTATCACCAGGAATAAAACAGTACAGCAAGAGAATGTCCCCATCCAAAGAAAATTACTAATATAAGCAT